TAACTTGACGACGTTTTCCATTCACCTGTGTGCAGCAGCAACTTCTGTAGATTTTTTTGGAGTTATTACTTGTCAAATTACATTTTCATGCAGGCAGAACTGTTACTTAGATATTATAGATTGTAACAAGTCCAAACTTGCACGGAAAGTTAGGTTTGTATTCTAATTTTCCGTATTTGTTTGTGGCAAGTCGGTCTAATGGACGAAAACAGGAGCTGGACGGAAAACCAGCGTAATTACCCTACAACAAAGTAATAAATCACCAGTTTTTCATCAGGCTCCAGTTTGAGGTATTTCTTGACGAACTCCATTATCCAACCGATAGGCTTTTCAGCATCAACTGCCCATTTTTTTTTCTTCATTATTGGAGCATTGCCGGTTGCTTTTAGTAAAATATCAACTGAAACACAATATAGCATATCATTATGGTCATTAATAATTATTTCGTCACTTTCTATCCAAAGATTTTATAAATACACAGTATTCATGTTAATATTATTATTTTGTATTTGAGTCTGATATTGACTTCAATTTATATGATCGTAAATAGTTTTATCTATTGTGAAGGTCGCTTACTTAGTAAATAGGTAATAATAACCTATTCAGTCTTATTTATGTAGGTTACTACTGTTGTAATTTGTAATATTCAAAGTCAAACTCAAAATGTGTTTGTTGCATTTCATGAATGTTTACAAGATGTGGTAATCATATTGGGAGCATTCCACGCGAAGCGGACAGGTAAAAAAAGTCGATGCTTCCGATTTCAGTAATATTTGAGTATGTTCTACTTATACATATTATTGATACGTGTACCAAATATTTTTGTAATATAATGACTAGTTTAAGAGTTATGGGTCTTCGAAGTTTTCGACAACCGGTTGGCATGCAGTACTTCAAAGCCGATTATGGAGTCATAAAATTATATATTAAAATAATTAAACCACGGGATTTATTACTTCATTTACCGTGCTTTTTAACTGTATTTTTGGAAACGAAAAAAAAATTATTTTTTCCTAAAAAAAATGCAAATTAATTTTTTTTCCTTGATTTTCACAAAGTTCGACCCTTTCGATTTTTTTAATTTTTTTTACTTAAATAGCTAATATTGTGTAGAACATTCATGCCAACTTTCAAAGTGGGCGTGGAATTGGATTCGGAGCTAGACTGAAAATACTGCCGAAGGGTGGCGTCCACCGCCGCGCCGTCGCGCTGCCGCGCCTGAAGCCCGCCGCCTGTGCGCGTTTAGTGAAACTGACAAGCAAATAAAATCACTTTTGACGGAATGTTTTGTAGATTTTTAATAACACCAATACATTTTTAGTACCTATTAAATACTAAAAAATACGTTATGGCCAGGCTTGTTATTACTCGGACACTGAAAGGATCGCTCCGAACTCCGAAAATCGGTCAAATGAACTAGTTCGGTCTTCTAGTACTATTAACTAGCACATTTTAGTACACTGATTCTATTAGGTAGATCGAACGAAAAAAGTCTTTATTCATATGCATTTATGGTCCAATATCGAAAAATACTCGCTACACACTCACAGAGCCGAATCCATCTCGCTCGCGCGCGGTTGTCACCAATTTCACGTCTCGTTCACACCTATTCATTAGTGATCGGCTGTACTAAAGTGAACTAAAAGACCGATTTGAACGACCAAGACGGAATAGTTCGTTCTCGTTCACTTAATTAAAGGAATTGCTTCCTATTAGTACATAGTACATGTACTACACAAGCCTAGTTATGGCGTATCCGCACATGCCGGGCGGCACGGCCGGTTCGGTTCGGTTCTGGGTATTAGTCCTGACCTAAATTAACTGGTGGATCTATTAATCCGGTCCACAATATCTTCTAATTACCAATAATTTACGACCTTTCAAAAGACTAGATAGAATGAAAGGTCTAGTATTCATTATATCTAAAAATTATTATGAGCCACTTAATTTCATAGGAATAGGATGAAAGCACTGACGACCGTCTGCCTCCCACATAATCGCCTTTTGTAACTCGAAAGGTATAAAAATAACAGCTCATTCTATTTTTGTTAGGAAATATTCACAGTTACGAGTAATGTAATTTATTTTTCACGATACGGAAAAACGCAACTTTATTTACTACTACTACTTTATTTTATAACGTATTTTAGTATTTAATAGGTATTAAAAATGTCTTGGTGTTATTAAAAATCTACAAAACATTCCGTCAAAAGTGATTTTATTTGCTTGTCAGTTTCACTAAACGCGCACAGGCGGCGGGCTTCAGGCGCGGCAGCGCGACGGCGCGGCGCTGGACGCCACCCTTCGGCAGTATTTTCAGTCTAGCTCCGAATCCACTTCCACGCCCACTTTGAAAGTTGGCATGAATGTTCTACACAATATTAGCTATTTAAATAAAAAAAATTAAAAAAATCGAAAGGGTCGAACTTTGTGAAAATCAAGGAAAAAAAATTAATTTGCATTTTTTTTAGGAAAAAATAATTTTTTTTTCGTTTCCAAAAATACAGTTATAAAGCACGGTAAATGAAGTAATAAATACTGTGGTTTAATTATTTTAATATATAATTTTATGACTCCATAATCGGCTTTGAAGTACTGCATGCCAACCGGTTGTCGAAAACTTCGAAGACCCATAACTCTTAAACTAGTCATTATATTACAAAAATATTTGGTACACGTATCAATAATATGTATAGGTAGAACATACTCAAATATTACTGAAATCGGAAACATCGACTTTTTTTACCTGCCCGCTTCGCGTGGAATGCCCCATTGGTCAGATCCAGATGTTTTTATTAATAAAGGCTTATGGTGACTATTTCTCTAAGGCAAAAAATAATTATTTATTACTTACCTTTAACTTTGTCTGACTTCCCTGTTTCACAGTTCTCTTTGTCACCATCAGCTTTGATATCTGATGTTATGGAAGCTTCTTCTGCTTGCTTCTCGTCCGCCATTCTTGTTAGAAAATTCAATAATCGGGACTTTTTTTATTTTATTATACCCCAAACAACCACTTTTAGCTGTTTATTAGATTTTTTTTTTGTTTCTAGGTATAATTTTTCATTGACTGGAGGATCAGCTGGATGACTGACAGTGACAGACAGCACTGAGCACACCACACATGATGGATGACAACGACAACTATAATCCAAACAGTACAGTATTATATTATCTGTGTCCAAACTGTGGATGACACCATGAAGCTAAAGATAAAATGGAGGCCACACTTCGAATACTGAGTTCGAATATAGTACTTTTTTAAAGTTTTTTCTTAGATTTTGTGATCGATAAAAGAGAAATTGATATAAAAGAGTGATTTGTAATGATTTATTATAGTTAAAAATTTTACATTGAGACTACAACTTCTAAATTGAAACTGTATTTTGTAATAATGATAATAATNTTTGAAGCGTTCATGAGCAGACATTGCAGTTGAATATTCATGTTCTGAATTTGATTATTGATGAATAATAAAATAAATCCTACTAGCTCGATTGATGGTTTCATTTAATTTATTTAAACCAGGTTATCTTTAATAATATTTTTCGTTAATTTATGAAAATATCAAATTAGCCCGTAATCCTGAATACTGATACATAAATTTAGCCTATTACTTAATTTAACACATGTACGACTGTACTCAGTGTTGCACTATCAAATGCAATTGAAGCGCCTCTGTGCCAGGGTTTTTATGTTCCTGGTCAGGCTATAAATTGGGTACCTAAATAAAGAAATTATTCAGTGGTAATACAGTGATGCTGTAAGTCATATTCAGTGTTTTTGACCATCTTGACCGATCAGATTCAGTCAATTTACATCTCTAGTCAGTGCTGTCATATAAAAAAAACTGAACTGTCCCACCAAACTCAATGACAGGGGGGCGCTACCATCGTTCAACTATATGGTTTCCAACATGGCAAAAATCTGAACCAGCGATCCGGTATTGACGGTGGCGCCCCACTGTCAATGTCATCGACAGGACAGTCCAGTATTTTGGAACTATAGTGTCATTGTCAGCTTTAGACACACAGATATGGATAGATGCAGCATGTGTCAAAAATTGTATGAAGCCGAGCGTGCCACTTTTTAAACGTCATTAGTGTCATTTTAGCGAATTTTAGTGATTGCCGCAACGTAAAAGTAATCGTATCATCGTACTGCATTCGCAAAGTCATCGAATGATATCGTGTGACTCGATTCGAAAATTAATTAATTCCGATAAAACTGATAATTTGTTAAATACAAAACCAAAAGCATCTTTATTTACCTTTTTAAAATAAAGTAATACTTACAAATCGTCAAATCTCGTTATTTTTTTTACCCTACCAGCGTTTCAAGACATAAAGTCAAGTGCATGAATACATGGATCAGTGTGTGTCTTATTGTTATGAGTAAGTACGGTTCCTTGGGATCGGTATGAGTGCACCACATACAGGGACCATGGTTTTAACTCTTAAGAGTACATCGCAGGATATGTATTAAAAACAATGCTACTTTATACTTCTTCTACTGCTACTTTATTCTAATTAATTATTGGCTACTTGTGCTGTTAATTACAATTCTCAATCCGTAAATAATATCTTCTTTCTACTGTGTTCGTACTACTGTTCTCGTAAAATCATCGTGACCGATTGTTGTAATCGGATTACATGAACATCACTCGACCATGTATGTCCATTTGGACATATCGGAATGGCACGCTTTGACGATCAACTTGCTGTATCTACTCTAATCCATATTATCCATATCTGTGTTTAGACATCTGTGATCATTGTCAGTTGTCAGTGTCAGTCACGCGGCGCACGCAGCAGGTGCACTCAAATTCAATATTTCATTCTCATTTCTCACCAATATTCTCACTCACTATAAAAATCGTTTCATATATGACCCTATTTAGTTATAAATTAATCCCCGTATAGGTACATCTATTTTTTTTAAATATTTTTAAGGTATGTATGACATTTCGGTTTTAAATAGAAAATGATTGTGCAGATTACAAAAAACTTTCTGATTACAATTTTGTTGCAAAACATCTGCTGTACAATACTTGTATGAAGCTGTTGTCGGCACCATAATAGCTATTTTTGAATGAAACAATTTGTTAACAGAAAAGAATAGTAGTAGTACCAGTACATAATCTAACAAGTAGAACAATGAGTAAGAATTTTGAATTTGAAGTACTTGTCTCCAATAATTGTCTGACAAAACCAACAATCTACCGTCTGACCTCAATTTTCATAGAATTGGATTGTTCATCTAAATAAGTTGTTCGACTAAAACATCTCACAATCACAAATATTTACCAGTTTGTTTACAGAATCACCACAATGAGTTGTCATGACCGATGGCGCTCAAAAGCAGATATCCTGGAAGATTTAGCAGAGGTGACCGGACAGTATACAGATGTCGAGGAAAAGTATGTTGTAGTGGGAGAGGGTCCTCCACCTGTACGAAGGATGGAAGACGGTATGTACCCCATTATTAACCCATATTTTGAATTCCTTTTGTTAATAGCCAAAAACACTAAAAACAATTTAATTATTATTTTATACTGTGCCCGATAAAGGGTACCAAATCACACAGTATTTATTTGTTTTATTCGAACTTGTTTGGGTGCTGTAAGAAATTCAATGAATTGTAGTGAATGTTAAATGACACCAGATGTCAAACAGTTATGAAATTGCAAACATTACATTTTTATTGATAAATCAATAAAAAAAAGCTTTAAAGCTTATATTGATTTTATATTTAAATTAAATAATGCATTTCTTTTTCATTTTCTTTTTTTCTTCAACTATTACCAACACAGACACAAATAGGTAGGTACTTGAGTACTTAAGTTGTTTGTCTAAATCAGAAATGTCTTATTAGAACTCATCTCACTTGCTTTTGATGTGTTTTTATTATAACCACTTTAATGTGATTCTTCAATCTTTATTTTTTTGGATCAATAAAGAAGAAGTGGGAACCCTAACTGCTTATGAAGTCTATAGGTATAGCCATTAAGGGAATCCCCCAGTTATGGACATATTTTTAAATCGTTAAATATCTTGTTCTACATTGATATAAGCGCGAATTTCTGGTGCTATGCTTGCTATGGCGACAGTTTTATTTAATTAACAGTTACATGTATGTGAAATGACTATTCCTTGAAATTGTTGTTTTCAAAATATGTAATTTAGAGCTAATGCTAATTTAAGATGTTAACTATTACAAAATTTAATTCAATGCATAACATAAAGTACGTACATACATAATGGTTTAAGATCTTTATTATCATTAAAAAATTTAAAAATCAACTTACTAGAGAACACAATCACAAAATAATGGTTTTTAATAGAAAGTTTAGAAAGTCTTAGAAGTTGGGGCAGTAGTACAAAAGTCATAGCATCAACAGCGTCTCATACATACATAATTAATTACCTATTTTATTAGCAAAAAAATCATAAAGTTCCTATCTGCTGACAGTCAACAATGAGTTCTATTTGTTGCAGACGAAGAATTCAATTTGAGGTTTTCTGCCGCGGATGACCCAAACGTGATACATTTCGAGAACAACGGGCCAGACCTCAAGGGGATCACTCAAATGTTGAGGATGGTAAGTTATTTTCTGCTTTGCATCATCTTGTTAAGGTTTACTATTCAACATTTCGTCGTTTTTAATTATGGGCCACTTACACGCCCTTGCATTTTTTTACCCTTGCACATGCCTAATTTTTTTGATGACAAGTAGGTGAGTCCACTGCCTTCGTAGGTTCGAATCGAAAGCCGTTGTAGCGACCAACGCTGTTGCGAATTCTTTTTCCACTGCCTCATAGGTTCGAAAGCAGAATCGAATGACGTAGTCGCGAACGACTGTTTCGAAAAACGTTTTCACTGCCTTCGAAATATAGATAACAAGCAGGTATAGACCTGCATGTTATCAAGTTACCGACACGCGGCCGAAGCTGCAGTAAAAAGATGGTTAGTTAAAAAATATAGCGTGATTTTGTGTGTATTAGTAGGTACACGTACGTTTTCTAGAAGTCTCGAATCGAATGTTAAGCTCAAAACAAAACAAAATTATGCAGTTAAACACGAGACATTATTGTGCTAATTTAATTTTGCTGAGTGTACACTCAATTGGCATCAGATGTGTTGTGTTAACAAATTATTATTGGGTAAACAAAAATATTAAGCAATACAAACATTTTGTTACGATCTGCATTACCTTTCATGCAGAATTACAGTTTTTAGGGTTCCGTACCTCTTGTAAAAATACATTTGTAATTAAATCATATTAATAAGAAAGTCGTCTCTACGAGCTAGGCCGTTGGGGCAGGAAAGTTCTCGAGTGGCGACCACTGGCTGGAAGACGTAGCGTGGGCAGGCCTCCTACTAGGTGGACCGACGATCTGGTAAAGGTCGCGGAAAGAGCCTGGATGCGGGCAGCGCAGGACCGTTCATTATGGAAAACCTTGGGGAGGCCTTTGTCCAGTAGTGGACGTCATTTGGCTGAAACGACGATTAAGAAAGTCTTTAGGTTTAGACAAGGAACGGCGTGTTTTGATTTGAGTTAACCGTGTTATTTGGGCAGTTGGGGTATCGTGTCGTATGAAAGGGCTCGGCACAAGATAAACAGATTTTGATGTGTAAATATTCGACCCCAATTCTTAATCGAAACCTTGTCAACTGAGGATAATAGGTATATGAGATTTTTATGGGTTTTTAAGGTTTGGTCACATATTAGTTTCTGGTTTGCTTGTAAAATATATTATAATACGATCATAAAAAAGTTATGACCTGGTAGGTAGACCACTCGACTTCCACTCTTATTTATGTAGGCCTACTTACAATGAAGTAACCATAAATTAAGACTAAATTATAACCGGAGACTCTACGGCAGAGAGACCGGTTAAGTATTTAACAAGGTGAAATTTTGGGGTAGTTGTTTTAGGAATGACACACAAGAAGGTTAATAGGCAAAAGCACTTAAGAATTTGTACAAAGATACGAGTTGACTTAATTTATTGTCCTTTAGGAAATTATGGAATAACAATAGATAGAACTCCTGAGGAATGTTATGACTAGGGATTGCAAACCGGGTCCGGCAAGCAGCAAATCGAACGCACAGCGTTGAATAAAGCTCTGTGATTGGTACGTGAAACCCTGTGCGTCCAGGCGCACTGTGAGACCTCATAGTAATGTTTGTGAATGTGAGCGTAAAGGTTTCACCGCAGGTAACATACCGGGTTGCAATCCCTAGTTATGACCACCGCACCGGGTTGGTTGCGTCACTGGAATCACAACTGGAATGTTTAGGGATTAGTCATTGGTACATTGGGTTATAATAATAATATGACACTGCTAGCTATAGCAAACTACTCATACAAATACCGTGAAGTGGAATCACAAGTGAATTAAGTGTTTCGAGAAAACACTTGAGATGAGACTGTTTCTGTAAACTGTAAAATGGAACGTGAAAGTTGAAAACCGTGAGAGATTTGATTTCTATGATCTGTGGGTCTAGACAAAGTGCAAATTATAATCGCAAACCAGTCGAAAAGTGGTCGAAAAGCCCCTCTTTTGTATGGAGTTTTGACGGATTCTATTTTCGATTCGATCAAAAAGTGCGTTTTGTCTAGGGGGGCTGAGATTTATACCCTTGTTGGAACTTTTCAGTTTGACAGCAATTCTTTTTGACGTCTTTGATATACTGAATCGTGACTGAATATGATGACCCACGCTGAACTGTCCCACCAAACTCAATGACAGGGGGGCGCTACCATCGTTCAAGTATATGGTTTCCAACATGACAAAAATCGGAACCAGCGATCCGGTATTGACGGTGGCGCCCCACTGTCAATGTCATGCATATGACAGCATGGACCTATAATATGACAGTAGGACAGTTCAGTATTTTGGAACTATACTGACTTTTCAGTTATTATCCCCACAGAGGAACTGTGTTGAGCATTTCTGGTGAAACTCGCTTCTGTCCACCTTCGGTCTGGTTGTGGTTAAAAAACAAAATAATTGTTGGTTGTTACATTAAATATTTATGACACATAACAATCTATCTGCCAAAATACCGCGACAGGGTATCTTGACGATCCATTACATTACGTTTGAGTTTGTTCGTTTCCGTGTACGTTGCAGCTGAACTTTTGCCGCAATAATTAAGGCTCATGCCGCATACCACAGCAGTTCCGAGAAAATGTTCTTTCAACTGCACCGTTTGTTTAAAGTTTAAACAAACTGACTATTGTTCACAGGGATAAGAGTTACGGGTTCGAGTGAAACAATGAGTACTGTAAAACATGAAAGGTCCATTAACAAGAGTCGAAATTGACTAAAGACACAGTAGTCTTATCGCTAGAGTTTTTGAGATAATGCGGGTTGCATTTGAAGTTTCAGAACTTTTAATTGTCAAAGCGGAGGATTACTAATGTTTGGCCAAAAAACGTTTCCCAAATTATCACATCGCAAACAACGTTTCGCAAATTTTCATTTGGCAAATTCTCATTTGGCAAAACAACTTATTGCAAACTTTTAATTCGCAAATGTCGTTTTTGGCATATTATTGTTTAGCAAATTATTGTTTGGCAAAGTATGTTTTGCCAAATGTTTCATTTGGCAAAAATATTTCACGATAAACTATTTACAAAACAATTTGATTGGTGCATAGAATGGAATACAAATTAGCTTGTGGTTATTATTTTGTTTAGTGGGTAGTTAATATACATTTTTTTCTANCCCCCCCCCCCCCCCGTCACATGTCCGGCTTTTAGGGTAAAATGTCCGGCCAAATGAAGCACAGAGTCCGGCTTTTGTGTTTTTGGACCTGGCAACCCTGGATGCATAGTATAAGCTACCTACCTAATGCCCGTATTCACAAACATTACTATGAGTTCTCACAGTGTCCGTGGATGCACAGGGTGACACACGAACCAATCACAGAGCTCTATTCGCTTAAACAAGCATCGTTTGTGAATACGGGCGTAAGTGTTGTCGTTACTCAGAAAGAAGCGGTTACCTAAAGTATAAGACATGTAGGTATGACTTTCATAAACAATATTCCAAATAGGCACCCGTTATACATGGTAGGAGGCCCTTGTTAGGGAATGTGTAATTTGAAACACTAACTTACGATCACGTTCCAAAACGGCGTCATTTGAGGACATTAATATTAAATTGTTTCCATTTTGGTCATTGCCTACGTGTCAAGTCAGGTGCACACCTGACTTGACACGTTGTCATAGACACCGTGTCTATGACAACGATGTCTATCGTTTTCCATTTTATTAGAGGTAACAATACCGTGTATCGGACTGTCGGACTGGCTGACTTGATATCCGAAGAACGCTGGCTCGAAAAATGGATGCGGGCAGCGCAGGACCGTGTATTGTGGAAAACCTTGGAGGAGGCCTTTGTCCAGCAGTGGACGTCATTTGACTGAAACGAACGAACGAACGAGAAACCGGCCAAGTGCGTGTCGTGGCACGCGTAGTGTAGAGTTCTGTTATAGTTGCCCGTCGTTTAAACAAGCAATGACTTCATCAAGTCACTTTTAATTGAATTGCTGAAGCTGCGGGCATAAGACTCATAATAAGGGACAGTGTAATGAGGGCTATCGTTTTAGCGCTCACCAGTTAGCGCCACTGTAGAGTAAGGTCCTGTCACTTGCTAGTAGCGAAGACAGTGGCGCCAACTTGTGAGCGCTAAAGTGGTAGGAGGACTATCGCATTTGCACTCATCAAGATGGCGCCACTGTAGAGTAAGGTCCTGTCAATCGCCAGGGGTGCCAACTGTTAAGTATAAAAACGATTGCATCATTGTGCAGCTATAACGCGTAGTGTGTATTAGAGCGCTTTGGAGCCTTCTCGAATACGGCTTAGAGCACCAATGCTGCTCTTTTTTCCAAAGATGGCAAAAAACTATCAGTATGTGTATTAGCGAAAATACCTGAACTTACTGAACGTTTTATTATTAGACAAACATTAAATTTAATATCTACAAATCTTTTCTTTACAGGTAGATGAATTCGACCGGCCCTCGGATACCGTCACATGCGTGCCAAATATTCAATCTGATTTTACACTAACTATAAGTAAACTCGACCCGAACGTTCCAGAGTTCGTGCCTAAATGTGCTAATAATTCTAGTCCTAGTATTAATGTTAATGTAAGTGATAAACAATGTAAAAATGAAAACAACAATAATAATAGTTCTAAAAATAGAACACATAATGGAAAATCTGATATAAATGATTCCAGTAATGATGGAATAGACAAGAGAAATCCCTCAAAGGAAGAAATCGAAGTGATATCAACGCAACTAAGAAAGAAAATAATTGACGTGTCAGCCAAAGAAGACCTTCACGCCAAAAAAGAAAAAAATGTTGCAATCGCTGCTCTTTTGAAGCTGTATACAACTCCGCGCTCGGAAGAAGAAAAACCAATTAAATTAATGACTCCATCTTATTTCGTATCGGCTCCGGCAGCAGCAGTACCCGTTGACGATTCTGAATCTACCAGCAATGCGGACGCATCACCAGCAGAATTAGAATCGTCAACACTAGAGAGCTCTAGCCGATCTGGGAGAACTTCTCCGAAGTCGGAAAGTGACCCTCCTCACGTGATGGATCCCAATATACAAAAGTCAATTAATAAAGTCAATGATTGGCTGCACAAGCCAGAGTCGCCCAAACCCAAAGGGCCTACCCTTAGCTTGGGGCCGATATATTTCAAGAAGAAGAATAGTGGGAAGTCGAGTGACGACAGCAGGAGCAGTTCCAGTTCAACGGTTAACTTGACGCCATCGCTCGACATTTCTTTTAAACCTTCAAAGCTAGCGGAGGATTTAACTAAAGAATATAATCAACGAGCAAAAGCTAGTGAAAAACGTGAAGCAACCTCACGAGATGATAATATATGGGATGTTGCCATGAGAAAAATGAAGGAAAAAGAAAGGAAACAGATAGAACAATCTTGTCTTTCTGTCAAACTTCCAGACGATGGCACTTCAAGCTAAACGCTGGTTGGTTATATTAAGAGGCGACTCTGCAATAAAAAATAATGTAATATGACGTAGTCCACTTAGAACACCCGCCTAAATAGCACCTGGCCAGTAGGCCTAAGATGCGCGCCGCGATAAGCGGTTATCACGCCATTTTATCGATTTTGCCCATACATTTTGACGTCGATAAAAGTTATCACGGCGCGCATCTTAGGCCTACTGGTAGAGCTTCTATCGATAACGCTATTCGTAGATTCAATTTTACTATTTAATTTTAGTGCTTTATGTGGACTAGGCCAGGTGCTATTCGTGCAGGTGCTATTTGCTCTAAGTCAGTGGTTCTTAACCTTTAAGTCATGAGGGACCATTTACCAAATTTCTGTCTGGTCAGGGACCACCTCATAATCATAATCGGTCAAAAGTAAACCAGTTTGACTGCAAAAATCAGTTAAAAGTAGTTTTGACTAAGGCGGGACCACCAGTGGTCCGTGGACCACCGGTTAAGAACCACTGCTCTAAGTGGACTACGTAACATGTATTTATTTATTTTATTTTATTTAACATTGTTGTATTGTATAGGTGACGTTGGCCATGCACAGATTGTATTGTGTTCATAGTCAGATATATTTTATTTACCTGTGTCGTTGTAAGTAGTTACATTTTGGTAGTTGTGTGACAAACGAGTATAATAGTAGACGTGTTTTCAAATCAGCATTTTTCCTTTAACTATAAATCTCCATTATTTACTGCTATCTAAACTTAGATGAATTAGTCTTTTTTTTTCAATAAAAATGTTTATTTGAAAATTCGTTTCAGGGCTGATTTTTCAATCGTCGGATAACTTTTAACTGAAGAATAAAATTGTCATTTTGACATATTTCCCATACTGGAACTGTCAATGTGCCAAACTTATTCTTCAGATAAAAGAGATCTGAGGATTGAAAAATCAGCCCTTAAACAGATGATGAGATGTAGGTAGATATCTCGAAAGGTTGTGAATGCTGTGAATTTGTCACAAAAGACGGAATACATGTACATAATGTACCTATAATTTGATATAATTAGATACTACAATAAGTATTAAAACTTTTTTGTTTAGGATAATCCCTAAAGGGGCCATCATGGACTTGGTTATTTATTCCTCTTTAGAGGTCTAGTCCAGCTATTCTGTTTACTGAATACGTTTTAACCGTAAGTACTTCAGAAGTATTCTTTTCTTGCATTGTTTTTTTTTTTCACAATATTGTAAAAATCGGTCGGACCGAGTAAAAGAGTCTTTACGATTGATTTGTGATATTTATTTGAAATGTAAATTTTAGAGGTATGATAAAAAAAACTAAAATATTCGTGTTAATGATACACTCCATTGATATAAAGATCGCCAAATTGGAGAACCTGGTTCTAAAAATAAAATTAGCAACCATATTGCTTGCAATTGTTGCAAACAGTTTTACATTAGGTTTTTATTTAGGTAAGTGATGACTTTATAATCAAGTGAAACAAAATTTCTTTTATTGTAATATTTTAACTCTAGAAAATTGTATGTATAAAGTCCATTTGCGATAAGTTTAATTTTATTATGAAACTAGCGGCCGCCCGCGACTTCGTACGCGTGGACCCCGTTTTACCCTTAGGGGTGAAGTTACGAGTTTTTTAGGGTTTACCCGGAAATTATTCAAACTTTTCTCGCTGTAAAAACCATCCTTGGACTTCAACAAACATTTTAAAAAAAAAATTGGTAAAATTGGTCCAGGCGTTGTTGAGTTATGCGCTTACCAACACATTTTGCGATTCATTTTTATCATCAACAGCCCTTTACAGTCCACTGCTGGACTATGAGCCTCCTCCACTATAGTGGAGGGTTTTGCCATAATCTCCACGCTAGGCAGGCGGGTTGGAGATTGCAGTTTAAAAGATTGATGTTTTTCAGAGAGCGCTGCTGCCATTTTAAAATTATAAGATAATTGATCCCAAAGTGAAAATAAACCAAAAAGGGGGTCAATCGGAATGAGAGATAATAAAAGATTAGGTATAATATTATTTTTATTCTATAAAAATGACGATTTTTAAGTAGGTACTTACTACTGTTTAATTAGTCTTTTTTATTATCTGTTTTTGGAAATTTTATCTGAACTGAGCATCTTTTTTTTCATCTTTTAATACATATATTAATTTATGTATTAAATATAAATAAATGTAATATAAATCAATGTAAAATAATGCAAGATAGAAACAAAACCTTACGAGGATGCGTGGTAAATTATTGTTTCTGAATCAATAATGTACTTACATTACTACCGTTATTTCTATTTAGTACTAGCTATCCGCCCGCGGCTTCGCCCGCGTGACAAAAGGGCTGCTTTTAGGGTTTTCCAAATGTTCGCTTGCCAAATGTTGGTCTTGAAGCACTGGAGTGGTAGGGCAAAAAAAATTAAGACATGTAAAGGCTCCATATGGGCGAAAACAATATTTTTATGAATCCAATTTTTTTCTTTAAAATAATTGATGTTGTAAGTACTATTTAAATACTATGTAATTAATTACATATATTTTTGACCTTTGACTTGATATTCGGCCTTGCCAACTACGCAAAACTTACGACATAATATCAATTCTCCATATCTGAAGGAAAGATTGTAGCATAATAATTATCACATTTGTTTAGAATAATAATAGTAAATAGGAGTCTTAAAGTAGGTCAAACGTATGTTTCTTACTTTTGTTTGACCTACTTTGAGTACTTAATTATGCAAATACACAGACTTCTGTACTATTAAACAAAAAATTGTAACTGAAAAAAGAAATTAATATGAAAAAAAAAACACTCCCACACTGTAACACAATTTTATTCAGCCTGTGTTATTACGAAGTCTGCAATACATTAGTCTGTTAATTAAATAATCCAGATACTTAATTAATCTAGCTCTGTAGATCTACCCAGCACCCATGCAAGTTACAGTACTGACTTAAAATTGCTAATGTACCATGGTATTATGCCTAAAGTGGAATAAGTTACAGTAAATAAGTAACATTATTTTCGTCCAAGAGGCTGTACCTTGCATTGCTGTGATTTAATTATGAAATGATTTTATTTATATTAATTTTATTTATTGTTTTTAATTATTACCTATGTCATTCGTAATTAATTATACATGTTTTTTTATAAATTCGCGTGTATCATTTAATTTTGGATCATTATCTCCTTGCATGAGAAAGAGTTTGACATGTGAAAACAAACTCGAGCGAGGCTAGGCAGTAGTGATGCAACGAATACGAATATTCGTATTCGCTGAATGGTAGACATTTACCGAATATTCGTATTCGGTGAAATAATAAATACGAATACCTACTTTTTTTAAATTTTGCCACACGTGTGTGTCTCCGAACACTATAGCCACAACGACACGACGGGAAAACCCCGGTCAGTATGTAACAAATTAGTAGTTAAGTAAATTTTTCTTCCGGAATTTGACAGTGAATAGCAGGTCGATTGTACAAGTACCTATTATTTTGTTTTGTGATTAGTTACAAAGTAAAGTGATTTGTAAAAGACAATGCCGGAAATTGGCGTCTTTTTTTTTTCGCGCGGCCATTGACCAAACCTTGTTTTTTGATTACAAAATAGTGTAATAAACCAAACTTACTATGGCATGTATACCTCTAAACTCAGTCTGAACTGAGTTACGAGCATTAGAAGTTTGATGATTTTCATACTAGATTTGCTTTTTGCACGCAAGTTTTGTAAGAAATTGCAACAAAATAGTGACATTGTATGTGTAAACAAACAATACCATCCATTATAGGCTCCAGACATCAGTATGGAGCAGTATCAGCGCAATAAAAAAATAGCGCAATATTTTGTTGCAATTTCTTACAAAACTTGCGCGCAAAAAGCAAATCTAGTATGAAAATCATCAAACTTCTAATGCTCGTAACTCAGTTCAGACTGAGTTTAGAGGTATACATGCCATAGTAAGTTTGGTTTATTACACTATTTTGTAATCAAAAAACCAAGTTTGGTCGATGGCCGCGTGAAAAAAAAAAGACGCCACCTTCCATACAAAATCTGGCATTGCCATTTTAATTACTAAAACATTAACCATAATAAAATGAGTTAAAAGACAATGCCGGAAATTGGCGTCTTTTTATTTTCGCGCGGCCATCGACCAAACCTTGTTTTTTGATTACAAAATAGTGTAATAAACCAAACTTAGTATGACATGTATACCTCTAAACTCAGTCTGAACTGAGTTACGAGCATCAGAAGTTTGATGATTTTCATACTAGATTTGCTGTTTGAGCGCAAGTTTTGTAAGAAATTGCAACAAAATAATGACATTGTATGTGTAAACAAACAATACCATCCATTAAAGGCTCCAGACATCAGTATGCAGCAAAATCAGCGCAATAAAAAATAGCGCAATATTTTGTTGCAATTTCTTACAAAACTTGCGCGCAAAAAGCAAATCTAGTATGAAAATAATTAAACTTCTAATGCTCGTAACTCAGTTCAGACTGAGTTTAGAGGTATACATGCCATAGTAAGTTTGGTTTATTACACAATTTTGTAATCACAAAACAAAGTTTGGTCGATGGCCGCGCGAAAAAAAAAGACGCCACCTTCCATACAAAATCTGGCATTGCCATTTATGAGATTTCTTGACTATGTAGCGATATTCTTATTCGTATTCGCCGAATAGTAGATTTAATATTCGTATTCGTAAAAGTGGTAATCGTTGCATCACTAGTAGGCAGACGAACTCGAGACATGATACTAGGATATAATTTGTAGATAAGGCCAATCAGTTAAAATACCTACGAGAAGAAAAATTACTGAGAATGTAATCAAAGCTCCCGAAGCAAAAATAACTACATATGCCTGTTTGGTTTCATCATGGGTAAAAAAAAGTGAAAACGGGAAGAGAATACCTACCAGGGAATTCCCTAAATAAAATATTCTTTTTAGATGTTGGCAATATACATCGAGGCTGACTTGATTTGTGCCATTTTCAGGTTTCAAGTGAGACGAGTTACAAAACGGAACTAAATGGTTCATTTACCCACACTCATGCACATGCATTATTAATGGTCGTCTAAACACGAATTTTAGAACTTAGAACAACCGACTAACATGACGCTTCACATTCCCGCCTAGGGTGCCAGGATTAGAGGGACTTCTTGTCCCCCTAATCCTAAATATTCAAACAAACGGGTATCGATCGATAGTAGGTTATAGAATAGTATTAAAGAACAATAAAAAAAAGTGAGTAAACAAAAAGAAAATCATTCCCGCCCATTTCCCGCCAAAATCCCTGCTTCTGTTTGACTCGGATCGACCGGAAAATATTGATTGACAATCACGAACTGGCTGAATGTGCAAATTGCATGAAGCCATACACAGTTCTATCCTTAAAATTATTTAAAAAACTTGAATCAGCGGTGGCCGATTATGAATGATCGGCATAATCGATTTATTTTGTATTACTAATGTTGATAATCGATTACGGAAATAGCAACTACTATCCGTTCGCGATAAGTTTGTCGCTGGCGATATGACGTCACTCGAATGAAAGCGTCTACGCGTCTATAACTATAGCGAACTACATTAAAAATATGTTTTATTTATTAATATTGATAAAAATTGTGTATTTGCGTAAAGTAAGACACTTATTGCGTTTAATCACTAACTAATTGCGTTTAATCGCGGTTGGGGGAGGGGACGCGCATTCCAAAGACCGGTAAATTTAGCGCGAACGGGTAGTAATTATGTTTTCATAATCGAATGATGTTACTAATTAGAAGTACTAATCGTGTTTTTAAAAAAAGGAGTAGGTTCCCAATTCGAATGTGATTGATACTTTTGGAGTCGGTGCCGGCAAATTTCATACGTTTTATAATCTTGGCACCGACTTCTAAAATATCAATCATGGTATAAAAATAATTATGTTTCTACTTTTTAGTGCAATTTTTTTGGAGACTGTTTTACTTTTTATTAAAATTATAAAATGAAGTCGACAGTTGCTCCATGACTACTTTCTTTAGTAGGAGCCGGAGGTAAGTATATTAGACATTGGTTTAGTTTGTTTTGTTTTATTACGGTGGTGTGAGATAGACGCTTTTTACTCTTAATGGATTTATTTAACGTTGTAGATTAGTAAAGCACGAAAGATATAATAGATAGTAAGTGCACGAAAAGTGACGCAACTTTTAGTAGACCATTTTGGTCCACTTGAAAATTTAATATTTTATGTTTTAATTAAATAGTTAGTTTTGTGGTTTGTTTAATATTCTAAACAAATATTTAAACCACCTATGAATCATTTTACTCAATCAAAGAAAAATGTTTAGTCGTCGTTTCGTTGACCTACCAACTTCATATTATGTATTAGTAGATTAGAATTAGTAACTACTAAACTAACTGTTATAATCGAGATATTTCGAGTCATTTTCATAATCGAATGATTTCGTAGTATATCTCTGAATCGGCCACCGCTACTTGGATCGTTGTCAAAGTTGTCAAAATGTCAAGTCAAGTGTCACTAACAAAATGACGGGTTAATTTTGCAATTTGCATTTTGCATTTCTTCTAATTGGAAAATTTCAAAACTTACCTGAAGTTGGTGGAAATCCTTAATGGATTACGATAGAAATGTAAACGGGCAAAAATATACTTTGTCTAGGCCCCTTATTACTGTAAGATATAGTTAAAACGTAGTATCATAACCAAACCGCTAAGTAGGTACTTGGTGATTTTGATAAAATTTGAAAACAATATTTGATAAATTAAATATACCGAGCTACAACTATGGCAGATTGGTCTAATAAACATGTGATCATGCGGGATTTGGCAGAGGCACAAGGGTGTGATGTTCCGGTCGACCTTGAAGGAATTGGCGCCAACGAGAAACCACCCGCTTTGAATATCCCTGAAGGTACACTTTTATATTCAAGTTATTACTCCAATAGGCTTATATTAAACAATAATATATAAAGCAAAAACTTAGGTTGCTCTAAGGTTTATTTAGTATAAAATTAATACAACTTTCCATCAGTAAGATTAAAGAAACATAACCATTCAAACAACTTGTCTGTTTACAACATAATTTTTATGGTGTAAATATGGTTTTCAGACATGGGAGAGGATTATTTTGGACATTGTATTGGAGAAGGTGACACCGGCCCACCAGACATCGCTATGATCCAGCAAATGCTAGATGAGGTATGTATTTTGCAGTTTTATTCCTACATTAGTTGTTATTATTTAAAAGTAATGTAAGCTTTCATCTAAAACATGTTTAGGTTACTTTGTTCAGAGTAAAATATGTGTTTTGGGTCTTGTTTATTGCACAAAAAATTTTCACTTTCAGGTCAGAGATGTAAGTGTCTTAAACTGCGAGGACAGCTCTGAATATGTTGTAGAAATATCCAAACCTAACAGGTTATCTATGAGCCAATTGATTGGCAAAGATGTCACGAATACCAGAACAGGAGCCATACCAAAAACCGTCCAAAGTAAAACTGAGAAACCTGCGATGAAAAAAGTAAAAAAGAAAAGAGAAAATGTTGCTGTTAATTCAATTTTACAAAATATGGCTGAGGAGAGTGCAAAATTAAATGCAGAACAGCCTAAAGAACCACTAAAACTTTTAAAACCAATGGATTTCATAACTGATTTAACAGACACAGAGATAGTCCAATCCGTTGAGAAGGTTAATGGTTGGTTGGATAATCAAGTGCCTGAAACTTATGTGCCAAAGTTTGTAAGTAATCCACTTCATTTTGAGGCAGGTTCAATGTTTAAAAGAAAAAGTGGCTCTACATCAAAAAGCAACAGGAGTGACAGCGTTACTTCCTCACCTCAAAAAAAAGAATCATCAACATCATATAAACCTTCTTCTTCGGCTACTAAGACACAAGATCCTGAACGTAAGATTTTACATAATCCATTAGCATTAGATCCGGGTGCAATGTTTAAGAGAAGAAGTGGATCAACCTCTAAAAGTACAGGGAGTGACTCTGTTGAGACCTTTTCCCCTCCTCAAAAGCCACCTACGTCATCAGTTGATACGTACCAACCGACAACAAATTTCAATGAATATTACCAGAAGTATGTGGAGAAAAGTCAAATAAAAGAGTCAATTAAAGAAGATATATGGACAAGAGCAGAAAAGTTAATGAAGTAAGTTATTATCAATATTAAATATAGCAACACCCAGTCATAGCTGCTATTTTCTCAATGTTAAACTCTGATGAATTTATTGTGGCCGTGTGGTGACGGCAGAGTAGAATACATTTGTCACCAACCCCTACTCTTCCCGCGGGTGTCGTAAGAGGCGACTTAGGGACTACACATCAAACAGAGAATGGGCAGCAGCGCTCTCTGAAAAACATCAATCTTTTAAACTGCGATCTCCAACCCGCCTGCCAAGCGTGGAGATTATGGCAAAACCCTCCACTATAGTGGAGGAGGCTCATAGTCCAGCAGTGGACTGTAAAGGGCTGTTGATGATGATAATGATGAACTTATTGTAGATATTTCATTGTTAAATAAACATTTGTGTATTACAGGAAAAAAGAAGAGGCAGCAGCATTGAAAGCTTTGGAGTCTAACTTAGAAGCTGAAGCTATAGTTTCGGAAGTCTTCGACGTACCTACGGAAGACGATATAGCAAACATTGTTCTAAACTTCAAATTAGAACCTGACGTTATCGATTCAACGGTAGAAACTGATGTAATCGACACAATGGTAGAACCTGATGTAATGGACGCAACAATACAAACTGTCGTAAACGACACAACGATACAAACCGTCGTAAACGACGCAACAATACAAACTGTCGTAAACGACGCAACGATACAAACTGCCGTAAACGACGCAACGATACAACCTGCCGTAACTGAAACAACGAGAGAACCTGCCGTAATGGACGTCCCGTTAGAACCTGTCTTAGCCGACGCAACGATACAACCCGCCATAAACGACGCAACGATACAAACTGCCGTAACCGACGCAACGATACAACCTGTGGTAACTGAAACAACGAGACAACCTGCCGTAATGGACGTCCCGTTAGTACCTGTCGTAGCCGACGCAACGATACAACCCGCCGTAATCGACGCAACGATACAACCTGCGGAACAATAGTAACTACGTAAAATGGTATACTTTATTTCTAACCCTTCTTAATATGCTTTTTACTACCATTTTGGATTAAAACTGAAGTGGTTCGCGCCGTGACAGAGACAAGAGACCGCGACATGAGTACCAATACAAGAGACAGGTTCGGCCAGGATCAATGAGGGCTATCGTTTTAGCGCTCACCAGTAAGCGCCACTGTAGAGTAAGGTCCTGTCACTTGCTAGTAGCGAAGACAGTGGCACCAACTGGTGAGCGCTAAAGTGGTAGGAGGACTATCGCTTTTGCACTCATCAAGATGGCGCCACTGTAGAGTAAGGTCCTGTCAATCGCCAGGGGTGCCAACTGTTAAGTATAAAAACGATAGCCCTCATTGAAAAACATGCAAGTATAGTGTGGGCGAAGGCTCGGTAGAACTCGTGAATAATACAACATCAACGTAAGGGAAAAGAAGAAGAATGTAGGTACATAATAAGGAAAGAAATATGACCGGAGATTAGACTAGGTCTAAGGCTAGTCTTAGCCTGGTAAGCAAGAAAAGAAAACTGAACACAGGGCGTTTCAACGCCTTTTGAAGTGAGAAAAAAAGTTGGCAATATTAGACTATGGATAAAAGTCCAGACCAAAAACAACGCACGCAAAGCAGCGGGCAAAAGCTAGTATTTTTATAGTGATGTTTGTGGAAGTGTTATTTAGTTTGAAATAATGAACATTTTCATGTGAACTTATTACATTGATTTTGTTATTTATTACTTTTGTGATTTTTAATTACTGTTTTTAGTTTAGTTACTAGATGATTAGTTTCAAATTGAGTGTGGACCGGGGATCTTGTAAAGGTCGCGGGTAGCATGACTGGTTGTTTTAAAAATCCTTGAGGGAAGCCTTTGACCAGCAGTGAACGTCCTTTGGCTGAAACGACCAATTAGTTTTAACTGAAAGTTATTTTAAGTTTAATAAACGCCGTCCTTTTCACACTGATCTGAATTGAAAAGGGTAAAAGTGGTCTTAATAGAAAAGCTAGTGCTTTAATATTAATGGAAAAATGTGCCGCAAACTACATTATTTATTTTCCATTTTTAGTATAGTAACTAAAGGTTAATTTTGATACTCAATGTTAAGTACGACGATGACACACACGATAAATGCTGAGGTGTCTTATTTAGTTGTAATTCATAGAAAATATAACAAAAATGTATAGTCTGATTTGCTGTTGTCTGTTCAAACTCGTAGCAAGCATGACGTAAGGAATATAAATGGCTGTTAAAAAGTTAACATTAAGTTACATTTAGATAAGTTTAACCAATTTTTGTTTGAAAAATTTAAAATGCCTAAAAGATATGACTCAGTACGGCAAAAGAGAATGTATACCAAGAATGTTCAGAGTTCAATATATTTTTTTATGTCGTAAACGGAAATTTCAACCGTGTGATCGACACTAGACTTTGATTGTACAAAATGTGCTGTGTATGGTGCACTGGAAAGACAGGACACAGGACGATTTCATAGGCCCGGTTAACTACGCCGGACCGGCCAAATTTGCCGGAAACCGGACGCCGGACAGTGTTCACATTACGCCGGATCCCACAAGAAAATAAGATAGTCAAGTCAGTTCATCAAAATATGCGAGCCGAATGACGCGAGGAGGCTCTCTGACCGATGCCCGACAAACTCGTTCACACTGCCATTGGTTCTACCGGAATTTCGCAGTGACAAAACGCTCGGCAAAAATTTCGGTACCGGGATAATGTGAATAGCTTCATATAAATTGTACAATGTACAGCCACTAGCCCTTACGGGAATTTTACCGGTCCGGCAGATTTTCCGGTTCGGTAGTGGGAACCGAGAGGTGATGTGGAAATAACGAAATCAATTGAACACCTCTCCGTTTTTGTGGAAACTTAATGTGGTGTGTGTACCTCCGCTCCGAAGCGATAATAGGCTAGTTTCCTAAAAAAATTTTTTAGTCTGTCAATTTTAATATAAAAAAATATTGGACACGTATATTTTTAATTGTTAATCAAACAAATAATAACAAAGTTATAGTGCGTTAAAGTTCCGCGCGACGTCACAAAGTGCTGCACTTTTACGCACTCACTGACGTCACGGGCCTTTTCTTTAGAACTTTGGCACGCTTTGTCTCTTAACATTTTCATTAGTTTTAAAAAGTGAAAAATACGCGTCGAGTAGTTTTTGATAAGCTAACTGACGGATTAATTAAAACTCTTGCTTTTTTACCCAGGAAACATCCCTATTCGCTACAAATTAGGTGCTAAAATGTTTATGAATACTTTTATCACATTGTCTAGTCTAGTGTGATTAAATTTCGTATAATACCTATGGCGCTGCAAAAGTTATTATGTGAATTATTCACTTTCTGTTTATTTTCTTAAGATGAAAAAAGACAAGTCAGTGATTCGAGTTAAAACGACATTGACTTCTAATGATTTATTTTATTATTTAGCCCTTCGGATCTCTTACGAATCTTAGCAACCGGTTGCTAAATTGTACAATAAAATTGCAACTTGCGAAATTTATGGAAACAAGCTACAGCACGAAAAAAAAACGTTCGACTTCGAATCGTTTGCGTATTCGAATCGCCATCAACAGATTTACGCCCGTATTCACAAACATTACTATGAGGTCTCACAGTGCGCGTGGACGCACAGGGTGACACATGAACCAATCACAGAGCTCTATTCAACGAAGTGCGTTCGATTTTCTGTTTCATCGTTTGTGAATATGGACGTAAGTATGAAAACATAAACAGCGGCCCTATGAATATGTCGTAAAGTGAACTTAGTATGAGAAATCGTAGCACGAAACTAATTTTGACAATCGAGATAGTCACGTTATCGTTGAATTCGAAGACTGGGTGTCATATTTTGTCGAAAACGCAAACGATTCGAAGACGAAAGTATTGAACGCTTCCCTGTCATTGGTTGGCGTCGCAGTCCGCGTTGCTGTTGTTACAATTAGCAATAATTGGTTACTGAAATTCGTCGCATGCAGGCTGGGCAATATTGAAATAAAATATGTTTGTGCCATTTTTGTTAAATACTGATTTTATGCTAGTGAAACTAGTATTCGTGCCTTTAAAAGCTTCAGTGTTGCGAGCATTCCTATCGTTTTGTCGAGATGTTAAAGCATAAGTATTTTCTTTCTTTATACAGGGTGTTAGGTAAATGGGTATATATGAGCCGACACTAGCCCATGTTAACATGGTCATATAAATGGTATGGTGAAGTCAGAAATTTGATATCATTAATAGTTTGTCGGATACAGGAGTAAACTGGTATTTTGTCTTGTTAACAGTTGACAATATAGGACAAGGGTCCTTTGCGATGTTTAACAACACCTATGAACGTTTTATGAGCTATGAAAACGCGATCTTGATAGCAATTTTATTAGGTCATCATTTATTGGTATTAAATTAATAACTTTTATTCAGTTTTCAGGGCTAAGATAGGTAATGTTTTTTTGTTGATATTGCGCTTTAGAATTAATCGTTGGTTTTAAAACCTTATGTTATCTTATTAAAATTCAAAATATTGTGGCAACTGACGGTGGCATCAAATCTGCCACCAGCAATTAAATTCTTAACGGCGTCAACTAGCCGATTAATGACTTGTCTACCTTCTTCTTATTATGAGTAATACAAGATAGGCGTTTTACTATAGTCCTTGCTTGACAATTTTAAGTAGATAATGATAAAAAACTAAGGGTGGATTCGACCAAACAAGAGTAAATAAATCTCAGAATAAATCGTCACTATTAACATATTTGTACTGAAACTGTCAATGTGCCAGTTATACCAGGAGTTATTCTCGGATAAAAGTTTGGTCGAATCGGGCCTTAAGACAGATTAGTGATATTAACAAGGCTTCACTATAGCAATCAAAAACAGTCTTAAATAACTCTATTCGATATTGATGTTAGTCCACCCCATTTGTTTGCGATATTGAAAAGGTCTGTTGGCGCACGTAGGTAAATTAGAATTTTTTGTTTTTATTACTATCATGAAATTTTAATATGATGATGTGATATAATGATACGGTTGAGTAATTTAATTACATTGTAAAATAAGAGTGTAAAAAGAACGGTAAAATACAGGTTTATTATTATTTATAGTAGATTCATTTATTTTAAAAAAATATTAAAGACACGGCATGTAATGCAAGTTCCTGCAAATTTTAGATCAATATTGCGTTAGATTAACTGTGCAATTTGTATACAGGGTGTTTCTTGTAAGGTGTCAAGCCGAAGGCAGGTGATAGGTGAGGACTAGATCTATCGANAATGTTCAAAATGTCCGCCGCTGACCTGAATGCACATTCGACAACGACGCAAAACAATTATTCGTAAATTTACAAAAGCTTCTTGCATTCTAATATGGTTTTGTGCTTCAGTCAGCTTTGTCCGCAGTTCATCAATATTTTCATATTCCCTTTTGTATACCAGATGAAGAGCAAGAGCTTCCACGTTGTGGATAGAAAAATCTTTTCAGTTAGTGTCTCTAAATGTGTTCTACATAACGTAAACTTAGGGGATTGCAAATATTACTTAGTCCTAAGAAAGTCAAAAACATGTAACGGAATCTCCGACTTACCACTTTAGTGGAGCGATTACAGAAAATAATGGCCTATTAAGTACATGTTTTTTTGTGTTATTATGAAAGTTTAGAAAACTGCGCAGTTTTTAAAATTATTTTGGACCTATGGAAATTCTTTTTTTTTCTCATACATTTCAGTTGAAAATTTTAGAATGTTCTGCTAAAAGCATATTTTTTATGTTTCTAGCAAAAATTTTGTATTTTGCATCAAAGATAGGAAGGTGATTATTTTTTACAAATATCTGCAACTAATAGGGAATCTGTCAAAAAAAAGAAATCTGAGAAAAGTCAACCCAAAAAAAAGATAAAAAAAAATTAAGCCACTAGGTCATAAAATTTGAAAAAATCACAAAATTAACGATAACTTCTAAACTACGAAAAATCGTAGAACATACATGGGGGTGAAATCGATAGATCTAGTCCTCACCTATCACCTGCCTTCGGCTTGACACCTTACAAGAAACACCCTGTATACCTACTGAACTTGTCTATAGCACGTTTAATAATAAAAAGAATTACTTAACTAAAAATCTTGTTTTTATCATATAATGTTAAATCTTACAGATTTTTTGTATTACCACCGTTTAATGTTAGTTCCTATCTATTAATTTCTTTTCTGCTCAACCCAAAGGTAAACTGGTCGAGAATGCTTTAGTGCATGAAGTTCGCTTTATGTACAAAATTTGGCATTAAAGTTTTAAATAAATATATATAAGTAACGTTTAGATAGGTAATTTTAAATCTGAGTTACTTACGCATTCTAGGTGACCATGAAGTAAATGGGTTATTTGAATTATGACGAAGAGATGAGATGAATTTTGTTTTAAATTATTTTTTTTAATCGAGCGCTAAAGGGCTAAAGACATCACTCCGCCGATCATTATGCCTCTGCATGCTTCATATTATAAAAAAAAGTTGCGAAGTGACCACCCTCGTTCTTTTTTTAAAAATTGCCGCGTAATTTAAACAAATGAAAAGTGTTTTTAGTTAGCTACTCTGTGGTGTTTGCTGAAAAAAGTGAGTTCATTTGAAATTATTTTCGAGATTTTGTATTATTTTTGGTAGTTTTCGTTATGAATTATCGACAAAAATTTGTTTCCCATATGTTGTGGCATTTGATCTCAACTCAAGTAAACTCAACTCAAGATTTGGGCACCGTAGTAAATCCTAACCATGAAAACATGCCTCGACAGACTAAGATTTTCATCAGATAAAGGTAAGGTCAAAACAATCTTAATTTTTTTAAAGTACTAACTTGCTTAAAAGCTTCGACAGACAGCGGGGTGTTTTGCGACTTTTGCGATGCAGTTAAAATTGCTTTTGTGTCGTGTTTTTTAATACATTGTCGTAGTCACGACGACTCGTAGTTAATGTGTTTGACAATAACACTTCGGACACGATTATTAAGACGGGCTCTACATTTTTTTAAAATATTTGTAAAATTTTGATGGTTTAATTAATTAATAAATTACCGCTGTCTTAGGTATCAATGAACCTACCCTACTAAATCCAGTCCTACTTAATGACTATCATATCAACATAACTGGCGATGATTTGAGTGTAGACGATGTTTTCGACTCTATATCAACAAGTTAAAGTGTAAAATCGTTTGATTGACTACACAAGAGGTATTCTCAGATACTAATAATTGTCTCAGTTGATTGGCGCAACTCGTTTGGATGCGCGCGCGCTCCTCTGAAAGGAATCTCTATATAAATCGATGAACTGTGAAAACTAGTCTGTTGTGATGTGCATTAATTAAATGATTACCAAGATATCAATAACGGTAAGTCTTTACTTAGTTTTTAGGGTTTTAGATTTTTTTAAATGATCGTTTTTGTCTGTTTCATTTTTTCAGAAACGAATTTATACTTTTTCTTGATATGATAATAATTGTTTTGGTAATTTCTCTATGCGCAACTGAATTTGAAATAATGTACCTATGCATTGAAAAAATTGTCTAACCTACATTCCTACCTAGGTAGTTACTTTTTTCAGGTAGGTTCTTAGCCTCTACCTATTTATGCCTCTACCTAACTACATGGTTTGTTCTAAGTAAACGTGATTGATAACAATAATAATAAGACCGGTATTAAATTAAATGCTAATTCTCATACGACCACTAATTGATCAACGAGATGCATATGCGAGTTATGTAGAACATATTTATTAATAAGTCTCTACCTACTTTAGGTGCTTATAGCCATACAATAAACCTGCTACTTATCAAGAAATTACATAAATCTGAACTGAACTACCTAGTTTAAAAAATATTATTTAGTAGTTTTCTTGATCCCATCTGCCCATAAAACACTCGATACAAACAGAACAAATTCTTTTCTCTCGTTGTCATCATAATTGTTATTATTTAACAACACAAAATGTAGGTATAAAAACACGAATGACTTTCATTCAATGTGTTTTTAACTCGGATCATAGAAGGGAAGTTTTTAAATACCTACATTTGCATAGTGCATAGTTGCATAGTGCGTAGTCTGGTCCTTAATTATTTTATTGTCTTTTATATTTAATTAAATATTTTCAGTTTCAGCATGGTGCACCACAATATCCAAATTGGACTACAAAACGTGCTCAGTGACACGGTAAGTTGTCTACACTAATATTCGAGGAAAGATTTGATTGATAGTTTGTTTGTATTGAAGGCTCCGAACTTAATGGACCGATTTGAAAAATCTTTTACCATTCTAAGATGTTTTTATATGTCATTGTCACCATTAGAATCCTTTTTTGAACATAGGCGGTACAAAGTTCGCCAGGTCAGCTAGTAAAAAATAATAAGAATAATTGAGGTGAAGAATCCGCAATATTTTTGCTTGCCTCTCGTTAATCTTGTTATGGTACCTACATCGGCGGAGGATAAAAAATAGGTAAGTTTGCTCGAAGTAAGTAACGCGGGAAGAAATTGCTGGTTTACTCCGAAACGCTGTTTATGCAGTTTCGGCTCTATCTGTCACAGTCGCTCATGCTGGCATCTCGCTTTACGTGAGAGGGATGGTAACATTTGAAACTTCAGATAACGTTTTTCGGAGTAACCCCGCTGGATGCGGGCAGGATAGGACCGGTCGTTATGGAAATACTTGGGAGAGGCCTGTGTCCAGCAGTGGTTCTAATCTCAGGGTCTAGAATGCATAATTTGCGTCTAAATTTAAAATCCGTTGCATTTTCCACGACGCATTTTCCTTTCCGATCCCTTTCTTAGCATGGTCAATCTGAGCTACAGAATCCATACTTTGGAAGAAACAAGTGGATCTCCAGGAAATGACGAGTTTTTCTGAATTATCAATTGCAGTCTAAATACAGGTATCATTCGGTTTTTCGTATTTTTATTTTATTTTAACAGACGCGGGTATCTGTCCGGTATGCAAATGACCTGGTTGCCCTCGTTGACTCCTTTTTTTGAGAGTACCCGAATGTTATTCACGCTAATTTCTTATTATCTATGCATTACAGAGACAAAGTCAGTAACTCTTATGGAACATTGATCCTGAAGTAATATTGCTTTGAAGATCACCTTTAGAACTACAGAATGTTTTTTAGATGTCTTGCACTTCCATAGGTTTGTTTACTAGTATCTACAGTTATTTAGGAAAAGGGTTATAGGACAATTAGAAACTCATGGATAGGTATAGGCATAATAACACTATTTTCTTAAGACGCAGCAGTATTAAACATGTTCCATATCTAAAATAGGGAAATACTTAATGAGATTAATAAGTTTCCATTTCAAGCTAACCTATAGCTAATATTAGGGTTTACTTCCAACTGCGCGATGACATCCCTGAGACCCTGACACTGCTCCCTTTCTAGAGCAAGTTTAAATGAAAGAAGACTTCAAGAAGAATGAATGGTATGAAGTCCCGTGCATAAAACTACTAAGAACAACATCTCTTGGCAAATAAAGACGCTAATTTTAGTTGCAAACTTCAAGCCTGTTCCCTGCAAAGTACATTAAACCTTATTTCGATACGGCTAAAAAGGATTGATAAAATAATGCATTTTATGCAACTGTAATCTTTTATGGGAAAATGCAATCAAAGCCTGCAAGGTAAGATTCTTTTTGGATTGATGGACGAGATTAGAACCAACTTCACGTTTCGATTTTGATTTGCAAGCGAATTTAAGTCTTGTGAGTAAGTATTATGCACTGTACGATATTTTCTGTGTATTATTTTGTGGTTATGTTCCTAAAAAGACCTGAAATTTTAAGGATTTGTTGTGAATTACTTAATAGGTGCCTATGGATAAACGCAAATGTTCATACACCGTTGTGGATAGTGTGGTAAAGTAACTAACTTGCTTCTTTAATTGAAAACATGAACAATACTTACCTATTACCTACACACATTACATAATAAGTGGTTTACGACCTGTGTTTTATGTCGCTTACCTACATGTTTAAAAAAATTAAAATGTAGCCTATTGGAAACGTGTGTTCTGCATGAAAATAGTAATGTTTGATTAGTAAAACTTCTATGGTAATAAGTATAACCTAAACATCTCTCTCGAAACTATGCCGTGATCGTTACTACCGACCTTCTAACAATGAACTATGTAGGTAGGTAGGTAGGTACTAAGTATGTCTGTGTTACGTTTTCGCGGCTAGAATTTCCTAGAAAAACTGCTGAACCAATTTTAATGTGTGTGAAGCTGGTTAAATAACATATCTAACCATCATTCACCATACTCGTAATTATTTATCACCACAATGTGATGGATTTAACTTGACTGTTTACAAAAACTTTTAGCACTCCGAGACTACCGGGTTAGTACGAGGCCAAGGACAAGGGTTTATTGCAAGAACCAATAGTTTGTGAATGTGACAAACTTGTTAAATAGGTTAAGGTTTCAAATAAAAACATTGACAGTATTAGGTATTTTTATTTTGTTGCAGCCTACTTTTTAGGTACCTAATTACTATTACCAATTAATTTCAAAGCATACATTGTATAAGGCTAATTATTATGGTGCAATTTTCTCATTATTAAGTAAGCTAATGTTACTAAGGCCCGGTTACTAAGTTTTTATAGTAGGTAAGCTAAGGGCCAGTTTCACCACATGTACCTAGCTAAAGTTATTGATAGCTCGAAACAAATCTTTCAGATATCATGTTTCACAGATCTCTGATAAAGATACCTAGCACAAAATTTAGGTTTTTGGGGATTTAATGTCATTTGCGAACAACGCTGAATGAATCATCGTAATTATTTCTTGCAAGAAAGAAAGATAATTTCATTTCGTTTGTTCCCGTTGAGTCACGCCATTTTGTGTAACACTGTTTTATCCATTCATTTATCGGTACTGTCTCTGCTGCAACTCTAGAACCAATTTTAATGTAACCCTGTTAAACCCGAGTTAGATTTTATCGTAGTAGTTAAGTGCATTTAGTTTATTTCTGTTTCACAGAACCCTGACGAAGAAGGGAAACAAAATGGCGCCGCCGTTCGGGAAGGAAACGTCACTTATGGCATCGATGACATTCCACCATGGTACCTGTGCATCTTCATGGCTTTACAGGTAATAAAGGGCTAAGATATTTTGTAAATTATAAATGACTTGAAAAAATCGAACTTCCTAAGGCGGGAGTCGAACCCACGACCTTTCGCTTGCCGGGCGACTGGTCTTCCATCTGAGCTACTTAGACACTGCAATAAGATATTTTGCTGATCAGTTCATTATTTATCTCATTATGGTATGTTTAAAACGTATTTGAACGAGTGGTAAAGGTAGTCAAAGGGGCTAAGGGTTATTTATTCTGTGCTAATGGGCAGAACTGCCATCCTACTGGAAATTGAAATTTCCCGGATTTGCCCTAGTTTGGAAGACATCCGGGAGTCTCCCGGAAAAGGTTTTAATGAGAGGAAATGAAATTATGACTTGAAAGAGATGCAAAAATGTAAACAAATGTTTTAAAAAATATTATAATGCAAACAATGACTGAATTTTCAGTTGTAATATTACAAAGGTGAATGGAAAGAAACTTTTCACCCCAAATGATAGTTGGTTTTTAGGGTTCGTCCCATCGTGTGGGGTATCGTTGAATAGGTCTTTTAAAATGGCTTAGGGGTTTCTAAGACAATTTTTCCATTTAGGGATCTGTTTGCAAATCATTAAATTTTAAAGTGCCAATTTTTGTTCGAGTAGGGCGTCCACCCCCTCTAAAAACTAAATTGTTCCCTTGAAAAATCTGGAAAAATTCGTAATTTTGCTGCTTTTCATGAACTTTCAAGGAAAATTATAACGGTTAAGATACATCAGTTAGTTTAAGAGTATTATAATAATAGTCATTTGACTAATGTATTATACAATTTCTTAACCAGTAAAAAATCCTTCGAAGAAAATATGAAAAGTTACTTTAGATTAAGTAATTGCTTGCTTCTGAAATATATTGTGGTAACGATGGACAACTACGGAACCCTACACTGCGCGTGGCACGACACGCACTTGGCCATTTTTTTTTGTATTAGCAAGTTCAGTAAAGCCTCAACCCTGTGTTGTGAAATCCCTGGGAGTGTACACTATTATCATGTATCACTTTCACTGTCTCTAATTGAAGTGATGGTATTGCCCACAGCACTACCTGACGATGATTGGAGCCATCGTGGCCATCCCGTTCATTTTATGCCCGGCGCTTTGCATGCAGGAGACAGACCCTGACCGCTCCAACATCATCTCCACCATGATCTTCGTCACTGGTGAGTTGATATCTACTTATAGGTATGTCTATATTAGGTACCTGCCAAATCATACGCCTGGGTCGCCGCACGCGCACCTACAAGCGTAAAAATAATTCTTTTTTTTGCTCTTTATGTTGATTTGTATTGTAATATCTTTGATACCAAATATATTTTTTTCTTTCTTTCTTTCTAAAGTGGGTTACATGTCAAGAAAATCTTGGTGGTTTTAGTGGGGAAGTAAAAAAATATCGATACATCGCATCTCGTTTGTGGCCAATGTCAATTTTTGACTGTGACCAACTTTTTTTTCTGACTATACAGGGCTTTGACTATAATGATAGATTGGGAATAGAACTGGTAAATAGATACTCAGAAAGTCGGCTTCTTACTTTTGCATTAATACAGTATGTAGGCCTAGTTTATACTCAATCTACTGCAAGTCGCGAAAGAAGTTTCTGATTTTAATTAACTGCATTTACCTCTACTGAGGTACAAATTAACTTTTAGATACCTTATTAATCTAGCTTCTTACTTTGCGAACCAAGCAATGCAAATACCTCTAAGTAAGTTACGAACGTTTCTCAGATCATGAATCGGTAATGAAAACCTTCCACTGGGTTCGTACTTCGTGCAAGCGTATTTATTACTTTACTTTATAGCAGTGCTATGAGTCTAAAATATCTAGAAAATCTAGATTAAAATCCAGTTTGTTATCTGATATTGTCTTGGTAGTACTTAGTAATGGAATAAATCGTAATCCGAACTTTTATTATACATAATATAGGTCAATAAGGAAGGATGACAGCTCATTTGGTTGCAAAATAGTACATAACAAACACTACATACGTCACTGTGTTGTTTGCAATCTTCATTTATCACCGTATGATTATAACAATAACTTGTCAGACTTTATATGCCGCTACCGCCGCAGTTAGACAGGGCTTAATAGTTGTGTCACATTAACATTCCCAATTTGTCTTTCCTAGGAGTTGAACCCAGGACGTTACAATGGAAAAATCAGTTGACCACTAAGGTTATGTCATCATCATCATCATCAACAGCCCTTTACAGTCCACTACTGGACTATGAGCCTCCTCCACTATAGTGGAGGGTTTTGCCATAATCCCCACGCTTGGCAGGCGGGTTGGAGATCGCAGTTTGAAAGATTGATGTTTGTCAGAGAGCGCTGCTACCCGTTCTCTGTTTGATGTGTAGTCCCTAAGTCGCCTCTTACGACACCCGCGGGAAGAGTAGGGGTTGGTGACAAATGTATTCTACTCTATGTTATGTATTCTGTATGTATCTAAGGTTATGTATTCGAATAATACTTATAAACATGGCTGTGTTACCTACAATACAATAAACAGTAACTGTAAAAGAAAATTAAATCGTAAATAATTTTACTATCAACCGTCGTCTTACCTTGTAGTAAGCTAGTAAAATATAATTTAAGTCGATAACTTTAAAAAGATTTAATTAAAAATATTACGTGGCTACTGAATGAACTATTAAAACTTCTCTTCATTATTTAAAGAGTCTGTTCTAATAGTCAGCGCCGCGTGTGGCCTGAAGGCCGCTCGCTGCGAATACTCCCATTTTGAAAACTTTGCCTTTCGTTTATTTCAGGCGCTAGGAACTTTATAAAATAAATGCTTTACTTTCAGGAAGCATTTATGCACTTTTAAAAGCTTTACCATGGACCTTTTTTGCTACTTAAGTTTTTAACTTTGCCCTATAACAGAAGTAAAACATTTGAATTTTATAAAATAGTTTTCGTATAATTTAATACAGGGTACTGTAAAGTAGGTGCACTTACTCTCGTAGTAGCATCATAAAGAGTTACTTTTTAAATAACCGACGAATCGAGTTACAATTTTTGTAAAAAAATACTCATTCAATCAATCAATCACATAAGTTTTAATAAAACAAAGTAACTAATTAATACACAAATATTTAAACAAATAATGTTTACTAAGTTTATAATATGTAATTACTTAAATAATTATATGTTTTTTATTGAATGGATCAATCCCAAAGTAAATTATAATAGGTTTGTAATAGAATGTAAAAATAAATGAATCACTGAATCATAAGTAAACATTGTTATCGTTCCGTCATCCGTAATATCTCGTTAGCCAATATTAAAACAGAAACAAAAATGTAACGGTGTGGAGGTGCTGGGATTTGAACCCAGGACTTTCAGCATGCGAAGCAGACACTCTACCACTGAGTTACACCCCCGATGAAGGATCCGACGAAAATTGCGTACAGTTTGTACTAAATTCTGTGCCATTGCAATGCATTATTTATTAGTCTACCCACATAACTTTCACTGCCCTTGCAATGAAGGTTGCAATCAGTTTGTATACCAAATTGAACTATCACAACACAACTCATAATTAATTTTGTTATTGTGATAGCATGTTACTCGGTTACCTACTCGTTGGTAGGAATTTTCGTAAGAAAATAATTTCGTTGTGAACACGAAAGGAAATCGTTTATAAATGTCACTAATTATCTGCCTACACACGCACTACATACATTCACGTTTTTTATTAAAAGTTATTCACTGATTGAACCCTGTACAAAAGGCGAACTTAATGCCTTAAGACATTATCTTTTAGTAAATATTTTTCTCCGTAAATTACCAAATATTTATATTTAATTTACCTACTTTATTTATCTTAGTATGACCACAGAATAATAATAAGTACCTACTACGTACAGAAGTTTTACTTAGTGAAGGTATTTAAAAAAATGTATGCTCAATGTCATTAACAATATGGTGTAATTTAGCCTGTCTCAAGAGTCAAGCACCATTTTGTTGACAAACTTCAGTGATCGGCACTGCGTTGAAGCTATAGGGCTGACTTCGGTAAAATGATGTGACGTGAGGTGCCAAACTGCGGAAAATGGCGGAGGAAATACATGATTTAGCATGAATTATCATGAATAATATTAACTACTTATTTACCTCTCAGTTTCTTGAGGCAACTTAAAAAAGTACATTCTGTGTTTTTATTATTATTTAGGCAGTTAAATACTGCACAGTATTTAGTACACCGTTTTCNTTACCTCTCAGTTTCTTGAGGCAACTTAAAAAAGTACATTCTGTGTTTTTATTATTATTTAGGCAGTTAAATACTGCACAGTATTTAGTACACCGTTTTCTTTATTTTCTTCCATCATACACAAGAATACGCGTGCGTGAGTCAATGTTCGCTCGTATGTGAGGCCTTGTCGAATAGTATCCTGTAGGTGGGCCATCGTGCGTGTTTTGTTTTCGATGTAAACTCGCGGAGATGAACAGGCCTGGTATGACTAAATCCACAGAATCATTAAGGTACTTACTCATTGTTGTCGTGCGATAGTGTTTCCTATTGTCATCACAAAAATATATTTAGATAACACTTTATGAAATCCAGGCCTCATAACCTGGCTGCAAGCGACCTTCGGCTGCCGGCTGCCCATAGTCCAAGGCGGGACCATCTCGTTCCTAGTACCAACCCTGGCCATCCTGGGGCTCCCAGCGTGGCAATGTCCTGAAGCAAGCGAGTTGGGGGCGATGACGGAGGAGCAGCGGCGCCTGGTGTGGACCAGTCGCATGTGCGAGCTGTCTGGAGCGATAGCCGTGTCTGCTGTGCTGCAGTTGGTCTTTGGTGAGTGTTATTATAGGCGTCATAACCTAGCTGTAAGCGACTTTAGGCTCCCAGCTGGTTATCTTGTTCCTGGAGCCGACGCTGGCCATCCTGGGGCTGCCAGCATGGCAGTGTCCTGAAGCAAGCGAGTTGGGGGCCATGACGGAGGAGCAGCGCTGCCTGGTGTGGACCAGTCGCATGTGCGAGCTGTCAGGAGCGATAGCCGTGTCTGTTGTGCTGCAGTTGGTCTTTGGTAAGTGTTATTACAGGCTTAAAATCTAGCTGTAAGCGACTTTAGGCTCCCAGCTGGTTATCTTGTTCCTGGAGCCGACGCTGGCCATCTTAGGGCTGCCAGTGTGGCAGTGTCCTGAAGCAAGCGAGTTGGGGGCCATGACGGAGGAGCAGCGCCGCCTAGTATGGACCAGTCGCATGTGCGAGCTGTCGGGAGCTATAGCCGTGTCTGCGGTGCTGCAGTTGGTCTTTGGTAAGTGGTATTACAGGCCTCAGAACCTGATTGCTAGTGACTTTCAGCTCTCAGTTGGCTATCTTGTTCCTGGAGCCGACGCTGGCCATCCTGGGGCTGCCAGCGTGGCAATGTCCTGAAGCTAGCGAGTTGGGGGCCATGACGGAGGAGCAGCGCCACCTGGTGTGGACCAGTCGCATGTGCGAGCTGTCCGGAGCTATAGCCGTGTCTGCGGTGCTGCAGTTGGTGTTTGGTAAGTGTTATTACAGGCTTAAAATCTAGCTGTAAGCGACTTTAGGCTCCCAGCTGGATATCTTGCTCCTGGTGCCGACCCTGGCCATACTAGTTCTCCCAGCGTGGCAGTGTCCTGAAGCAAGCGAGTTGGGGGCCATGACAGAGGACCAGCGACGACTAGTGTGGACCAGTCGCATGTGCGAGCTGTCTGGAGCTATAGCCGTGTCTGCTGTGCTGCAGTTGGTCTTTGGTGAGTGTTATTATAGGCGTCATAACCTAGCTGTAAGCGACTTTAGGCTCCCAGCTGGTTTTCTTGTTCCTGGAGCCGACGCTGGCCATCCTGGGGCTGCCAGCATGGCAGTGTCCTGAAGCAAGCGAGTTGGGGGCCATGACAGAGGAGCAGCGCCGCCTGGTGTGGACCAGTCGCATGTGCGAGCTGACGGGAGCGATAGCCGTGTCTGCGGTGCTGCAGTTGGTCTTTAGTAAGTGTTATTACAGGCTTATAATCTAGCTGTCTGTAAGCGACTTTAGGCTCCCAGCTGGTTATCTTGTTCCTGGATCCGATGCTGGCCATCCTAGGGCCTGCCACAGTGTTTTCAAATAATTCCATATTACGAACTCACTACAACGGCCCTTTTTTATGATGTTTGAATTGATTAGGAGAATAAAGAGAACGATTAACTAGAACATTAGTACTAATAAATAATTATTGTATTACCAATAACTCCCAGCTAGTAAATGTAGCAAATATCAGCGTTCAAAAATGTCGTGAGTGCGAAGTGCGAACTTGTAACTTCGTAATGAGGGTTTTCGCGTATGAAAGACCCGCTAGTCCCGCCAGGACGTGGATGTGGGGTCTGACTGCTGCGTGATTGGTGGATTTTGACATATCTGTCAATGTCATGTCAAAAATAACCAATCATGCAGCATTTGGACCTCGCGTCTACGTATTGCCACCTGGCGGATTTTTCATACGCGAAAACCCTCATTATACAAGTCTTAAGGATCAGAGGTGAGAGTGCTTTTTAAAAGTAATGTACGGCACCAGCAGATATCGATTTATTACATAACCGAAACCAATAATTCCACAAATCAATTTAACGCAATAAAGAAATATGCCTATGGCAGAAATAATGATCTAGGTCACAAATATCACAGTCCCTGAACCGAGAGAACGTCCGTCACAGCCAAGCACTCGAGCAAAGTGTCGCGGTGCGCCGGCGGCCAGTTTCTCGTGCCTTCCCACTCTAACACAGNAGATAGCTAGTTCACAAACCATCAATTTTGAAACTTACTAAAGATTTACTTATATTACAAAATTCTAAAGAACCACACCCTGTGCACAAGAACCTAGACTGATGGCAGGAGTATTATCAGGCAGGCCTTCATAAAATCTGGAATCAGTGAGATTATGAGATCCGAGATCATGTCAGTGTCTATATCTGTTAATACATTAAAACAATACCAACCATGTATTGTAGCATGGACTAAGTATGCACAAGAATTATGGCTATCAACAAATAAGCCAAGCTTTCCAGATGTTATTACTTATTTAACTAAAAANTCGGACACTAGTCGCGGTGCGCCGGCGGCCAGTTTCTCGTGCCTTCCCACTCTAACACAGAATCGAACGATATGACGTCACGCTGACGTAGCGGGTGTTATTTCTAAGACAAGTGTCCTTTCCTTTTAAGGATACTTCGGCATCTTCGGCCAACTACTGCGGTTCGTGACACCTCTCACGATCGCTCCAACTGTGGCCCTCGTGGGACTCACGCTGTTCGACCACGCCGCTGAGGCCGCGTCCCAGCAGTGGGGTATCGCAGCTGGGTAAGTAATACCCAGCATAATTACGCACATCGGCAAGTTGGAATCGTAGGACAAATACAACACCAGCCGATATGTTGTCCCGAAATGGTAAGGCATGCTACTTTGGGACGTATGTGCCCTGAAAAGGGCCTCATACTAATAAAGAAGTTGAATTTGATGTCTGAATTTATAGCTTAATTGCGGAATTTATACCAGACGAAAAGTTCATGTTTTTATTTGACAATCCTGGACAATCCGAACTGAATAATGGATATAGTCACACTAGAGTCACTTATAAATTGATTTCTCATCTCACCATTTTGTAAGTCCATGGGACATCAACCCTAGACCCCATTCTAAGGAGACAACTAACGTGCTAAATGAATTCTTTGGTTCTCCTTACATAGAGCCACTGAATAAATAAATTAACACTGACGAAAGACCATACCTAACTTACCTAGAACTTTCAGAACCTAATCATAACTTGGATAGAAATAATTTTTCAGCGCCCATTTTCATATTTCCCTTACATAAATACTTGACCGTTTACGAGCAAGTTTGCGTCGCGTGCGCTCCGGCCAATTAAAATGTTTACATCCACGTTCCGAATTTAGCCAGAGGTCACGTGTCACGTGGCAGTTTCTATTTATAGCCATCTGAATTCATAATTAACTGGCAGTGAAAAAAATGGACTGCAGTTAGATAAGAATTCCAATTAAAAAAGTAATTCCAAATTGGAACACTTTTCATGATACTGGCTATTTATAGACACACAGCCATTTATTTAAGAAGAAAAAAATATCTTTACATTCTTTCTTAGGTTAATCGCCGACGGCCAAACTGTTAATAGGCAGTGACATTTCATTTGTTTTTTGTTTGGCAATTAAGATGCAAAGAAAACATTTTTTTACATTCTTTCTTCGATTAATCGCCTACGGCCAAACTTTTATTTGTGACATTTCATTTGTTTCTTTTTTAATTAAGATGCAAACTGCTTTTATTTTGGTTGCCCATTTTCCATCTGAATTACTTTTTCCAGTATTATCTACTCATTATTTGAATGCTGTCCTTTTTCGATTTGGAATTTGCGAAAGTTTAGGCATGTTTGGTTGGAATCCGGGCCAATTTGAAAGTAGATCCGTAAGTTCGCCCGGAGTCCGGACTTGGGTCGAAATCCTTCGTAACACAATAGACCTGTTTTGGACACTGCTCGCTCCCGCCATCATGAATCATGCTACATCTCTTGGGTGCCATTGTACTTAATTAACGACGGGCTTTTATGTACAGTTAATGAAGAATTCATCAAATGTACAGAATCATGTACCAGTACATGTATATCACTACATTTAATAAAACAAAGTCGCTTCGCTGTCTGTCCCTATGTACGAGATCTTTAAAACTTCGCAACGGATTTTGATGCGGTTTTTTAATAGATAGAGTGATTCAAGAGGAAGGTTTTTTAAGTATAATTACATTGTACCTGGGGCGGACAATAAACATAATTGTGACTACGTGAATCTACTTCACCTTTTGTAACTCATAAATAGGATTTTATTTATTTATTTATACTTCAATGCCAAAAATATTAACATTAGGCGAACTTAATGCCATAAGGCATTCTCATCCAGTTTACCTTTGGGTTATACAGAAAAAGTAGTTTGGCGGTATAACAAAAAAAATTAAATAAAACAAAGCGACAAGGCAAAACAAATATGCTACATATACACATACATAAATAATATATAAAATATATAATAAATAAATACATACTAATGATAGATATAATGATGGTGATGATGATTTTGATTAATCTAGGCTACTTTTTGTCGCGATTTCATAAAGTAGCAATAATAATTTCTCATATTGCTGATACTAATGCAAACCAATTAGTACTTAGGTACCTACTTTAGCGACGATAAAAAAGGGGACGCCTTCGCGTTGAAGACTATGTGACACCCACGCTAACGTAACTGCGTACCAAAGCCAGTGTTTTATTAAACTTTGAACTGCAAATGTATTAAGGTTCAGCCAAACCAACGCGATCACTACGCGATCAGCCGGCGTGCAGCGATGGCGATCAATGCATTTAATGCGGGTTTTAGAATCGCGCTGACCGCTCGCTGATCGTCGGCGCTGACAGATCAATATGTATGTAATTGAAGGGAACGTTCCTGAGTGACGCTGATCGCCCGGCGCCGACCCTTCATACAATTTGGCTGTCAGCGCAGACGGTCAGCTTACGTCAGCTTGACTCTAAAACCAGCCTAAGTCTGGTCGCCATCGCTGCACGCGGCTGATCGCGTGTGATCGCGTGTGATCGCGTTGGTTTGGCCGAACCTTTATGTAGCTCGGTGCTAGTAGCTGCAGCGGTAAGGTCAGAGTTGAACGGCCGCGCGTATCGATCACCCTGATAACGCCCTGCCCTATTTAAATAACCTACATCATGCAATACCTAGGGCCTGATTTAAACACTAGAACAGACTAAGTTTCAAAGGAAAAATTGAGAAAGAAATATTACCTACATTAAAATAGCATCTTCTAACAATCAACACTATCATAATTTCCTCCACAAAACGTCTACTGCTAAACATACAATAGTACTTCTGATTTTCTTGCGCTGCTTCTTCTTAGCACTGGCCCGTTTATTGTCCCGAAGCAGTGGTAGGGTTATTACAGAGTCCAAGAGCAGCGATGCTTTGTGACAGGCTACTCGTGCATATGTCGCAGGCAAATTGTATGATTCCGCATTCTTACAAACGGCGTCGTCAGTTTACAAACGCTCGCTGTTCTATGAAATGCCGAAGGCAAATTGGCGACTCGTTCAATTGATAAAATTTCGACTATGATTGTTGCAATAGGGTGACCATCATAAAACATATGTTGGACAAATCAGACTTAATTTCAGAAATCAGGTAGGTATCTATTCAGGTAAGACAAACCTAAAATACTAGCTACTCCTAAAGTAATTAAAATATTTTCGTAATAAAAACAACACTAAACTAATTTAAACTATTGACGTACGTAGGTACATAAAACTATGACATAAAATAAGTTTCGATAGTCAGTCCTTTAATTAAGTCTTACTTTTTAATTATACCTAGAAGAAGTCTAGAAGACAACGCAATATTTTTTTAAACCAATCATATTCCGCAGCAGTCCTCCACCAGTCCGAGCACCAGATTCCATTGTCACCTTAGCGTTTTTTACGTGCCGGATAACCTCAAAAACTATTTCATTTTTCCATAGCTTTTTCACTGCTCCTATTTGTGAATCGTAAAATATTTTTAATTCACTAAGTATAATAAATGTCTTTTTTTGTGAAAAGTCCTTTAATTACGTAAAATTTGTACTGTTTTCTGTATCACAACACCACGACTCGACGCCATTTTTCTTGTTTTGATTAGCAGCGCCTCGCGTGGTAAGAAAAAGAACTAAATAATTCAATTTGCCGCGGCATTTTGTAAACAGCAATTGAATTGGCTATCAAATGTTTTGGCATATTATAAAGTGCCCAGGCAATTTACATTTTGCCTTCGGCATTTCATAGAGCAGCGAGCGTTTGTGAACTGACGACGCCGTTTGTAAAATGCGGAATCATACAATTTGCCTGCGACACATACACCGGATTTAAAATGTATCTATTTGTATATTTATCCGTTGGGTATTCACGATAGCATAGTATTTGGGTCCTCTTTGAAAAATGTTTTCAATACTGCCCAGTTCTGGATTTGGAGTCTAAAAAATTGTTGCGAGTTTTATCCTGAACGCGGTAAAACAATTTAAACCTAGATCTAAGTCCTGTGTTATGAAATGACAATCAAGTTTCTACATTCATGAACAGATTCAGGTCTATAGTGGAAAATTGCATTAAGACTAGGCTTAAGTTTCAATTTAGTTTTGAGCTTTGTTTCATACTACTAAGCTTTGGTGGTCTTTCACTGTTTTTCATAGAATTTTATTTATTACATCATGTTGCTAACAATCATTCTCAAAAATGTTCATAACAAAGATTTTAAAAAACTTTTAATCTTACGCAATCCATTGAGTTTTCTAGAAAATAATATTCAAAAATAATCACAAACTTCTACTTCTAATACCTATACTTCACAATAAATTACCTATAAGTTTGGAGTTGTGTTTCATCATACAAAAGATAAAATATCAGACACAGCATACATTCGTGGACATGATAATAAAGAACGAATCCTTGAATCACAGTAACATGACGCGGGTGCCTGAAGGGAATCCCGTAATTCTTTAGAAATCCCTGCGGCCTGGCGTGATCCCTTGAAGTCGGGGGCCGGTGTTGATGGATATCCGAGAAAATTAGCTATTACTAGAGAATTCGTTTCCGTGGACATCAGAATTTTACCCAAAGGCTAAAGGGTCTAACTACTCCAACTAGAGCAGTATGACAGTATGAAATTTTCAATATATCGCCGTAGTCTAGCACCATTGTGCAAGTTGTGCAATCCTTAGTCCAATTATTGTGTGTGTTGTTCTGGAAAAGTGTCCAGACACTTTTATACAGGGTGTTAGGTAAATGGGTATATGACACTATAAACATAAACATAGGCTAGTGTCGGCTCATATACCCATTTACCTAACACCCTGTATAGACGCAGCATACAAATTGATGATACTCGTAATTATTTCTTATTCAAACATTATTATCGCTCGAATCATATTCTTTTGCTTGAAAAAATTGCAAATTGAAATCGATTACGCTCCGGAGGAGCTCCGGAGGTTAAGGGGTCCCTTGTGTTTTTAATGGGTTTGTCTTTCCTACCAAGGGTTTCCCAATCCTTTATGGTGTCCCGAAAAATCTCCGTTACTCATACAGTCAGTACAAGGGTAGAAAAATAATTATTTGGACAAAATACTTACGTATAGTTCTGTAGAATGACTCCCTGGTTAAAATAAAGCGCAGCGCTACAATATTCATAATTCAATTAAATCCGAAAGCCGCTAAATTGGCTCAAGCTCAAAACTGTTCAAGTCCAGAATCCAGATTTCTCTTA